CAATCGCATTTCTGGGTGTTTTCGCTAAGGATTGTTTTCGGAGTTGATCTCTGCTCCTTGCGCAAGTTACATACAGACATTTTTTCTGCCGTTTTGGGTTTTTGTGAACGATCATCATTCATCTGTCATCGGAGAAATCTCAATGCGTTTAGATCCAAAACCAAACTAGCTCCTGATCTGATCAATCTCCGGTGGAAATGGTATTTTGTTATCTGTCTTTTTCTGGGTTTATATTCAGCATAAGGGGTTTTAAATTCTCTATTGCGATTGTGTTCTTCGTATCGTTGGATTATCTGTCTCTTGTGATGAGCAAATTGGTTTCATGCACAGCTTGATCCTTTTGGGGATGTTGATTTTTAGCTAAAAAAAATCCGACTAAATCGGATGCTATGACTTTCCATTGATGCATGATTGACCAGGATTTTGATTTCTCAGGACTGACTTTTTTTTTAGCTCGTTGCCATTTGAATATGATCATCTGGGTTTCATCTGAATCTTCTGATTTGGTGTTCAATGTTCTGAATTTTATCATGTGATGCTCTCTGGTTATGATTAAATTGATTGGATTCTCTTTGACACAAAAACCATTCAAAGCATATATATTTAGAGGTTTTGTTCTCTGACACGAGGATACAAACTAGAGTATGGAATGCTCAACAGTTTCTAATCTCTTCTTGTGGCTTGTTATTGGTTTGGAGGGAATATGCTCACTCTAGTCTCTTTAGCAGTTAAATATACACTAGTGAAGAAGATATAGTTATCTGAATTGTTTGTTTTTGCAGGCTTGTACAACAGTTAATATTGGCTCTTACGTTTGGGTGGAAGATCCAGAGGTGGCGTGGATAGATGGTGAAGTTATCGAGGTTAAAGGGGATGATATTAAGGTCAAATGTACCTCAGGGAAGACGGTATGTTTGACTCATTAATTACGCCTCAACTTCTGGAGTATGGAATTTTATGTTTCTTTGCCTGTGTTTTCGTATGGGGATTAAGTTTTCTTTTAAAGTGGCTTTGTTACATTATTGGTAATTTTCAGGTGGCTGTTAAACTTTCAAATGCATATCCAAAAGATGTTGAAGTTCCAGCTTCTGGAGTGGATGATATGACAAGGCTAGCATATTTACATGAACCTGGCGTCCTCCAAAATATGAAAATAAGATTTGATACCAACGAAATATATGTGAGTATATTATTAAATTTCAGTGCGAACCAGTTTTACTTATATATATATTTCAACTTCCTTGACTGGCTGGAGCGTCAATATTTGATTTCACTTTGCTAGACATTTTTTTCTAATGCATACACATTGTTCCAGACTTACACAGGGAATATTTTGATTGCTGTAAACCCTTTTAGAAGACTACCGCATCTTTACACCAGCCATATGATGCAACAATACAAAGGTGTAGCCTTTGGAGAACTGAGCCCCCACCCGTTTGCAGTTGCGGATGCAGCTTACAGGTCCCTGCCATGTAATTTTGGAGTCTTCCTTTATTCTCCTTTTGCTACTGGTTGTTTCCTGTTTGACGTTTGTTGGTTTGTTTTCCATTGTGGGTAGACAAATGATAAATCAAGGCATTAGTCAATCAATCTTGGTAAGTGGTGAAAGTGGAGCAGGGAAGACTGAGACTACTAAATTGCTCATGCAATATCTGGCAGATATGGGAGGTCGAGCTGTTTCAGAAGGAAGGACAGTCGAAAAGAAAGTTTTGGAGGTTATCCATGGCATATCTTTTTGTATAGACGTTCTGGGTTGTTAAAGTCAGGTTTTGTTGAAGTGTCAAAATCATTCTTACATATGTTTATGTTTTCTTTGTATGCAGTCCAACCCTGTTCTAGAAGCGTTTGGAAATGCAAAGACCGTTAGGAACAACAATTCAAGGTGTACATAGTATACAATATATCTATCATATGCATGTGTGTGTATGAGTACATACCTTTTCAATTCTTCTTGAGTTGAATATCCTTTTACCTGCTGATTCATGTTCATGATCATATAATCTTGCAGTCGATTTGGTAAATTTGTGGAGATTCAGTTTGATCAAAGAGGAAGGATATCAGGAGCTGCTATCAGGACTTATTTGTTAGAGAGATCGCGGGTTTGCCAGGTCTCAGATCCTGAGAGGAACTATCACTGTTTTTACATGCTCTGTGCTGCACCACCTGAGGTACATATGTTTTCTCTCTCCTTTTAAAGTGCTTCCCCAAAATTCTAAGCGTTCTTCTCACTGGAGACGTCAGAATCTGATATGGTATTTGAAATAATAGCTATGGATCAAACTTTGCTCCTGCTTTTCTCCCAACTATGTTAATAAAGTAATCAAGTTCTTTAACCTCAGTTGCTTGTATATGTTTGGTTCACGTTTATTAAAAGTCAGTTGGAAGCATTGTTAAAATTCTGCAGTCTTCTATTAAGGATGCGTCATTGAAATTCTTGCCCTGGCGTTTTCTCATTTTTCTTTTATTATTTGATCAGGACATAAAAAAATGGAAATTGGCGGATCCAATAACATTTCATTACCTGAATCAATCTCAATGCATTAAATTGGAGAGAATGGATGATTCAAAGGAGTATCTTGAAACTAGAAAGGCAATGGATGTTGTTGGGATAAATTCCGAGGAGCAGGTAGATTTGCTTTTTGTCATTCCCTTCATCAAAATTATCGTATCGATATATGAGAGTCTTTTGATATAAAATTTATGCCAGGAAGCAATATTTCAAGTTGTGGCTGCCATTCTTCATCTAGGTAATGTTGAATTTGGAAAAGGAAAAGAAGCAGACTCGTCAGCCCCAAAAGATGAGAAGTCCTACTACCATCTGAAAACTGCTGCTGAGCTTTTCATGTGAGTAACTAATTAATTTTCTATGACTTTGAAATGTGAAAAGCACCCTTTCTGGACCTGGTTCATTTAATATGAAATAAAGAAATCATTCCCGTTTCCTCGGATTTCGTCAGGTGCGATGAGCAGGCACTGAAAGATTCTCTTTGTAAACGTGTAATTCTGACACGTAATGAATCCATTACAAAATATCTGGATCCAGAATCTGCGGCACTCAGCAGAGATGCATTGGCAAAAACTGTTTACTCAAGATTGTTTGATTGGTATGTCCATCCTAATACATTTGGAATTTTGGTAGCTGGATGCTTCTCTTTTTTCTACAGATTCAGAAACTTAGTTTAGTTAATCTTTCTTAACTTGCTCTGGTGCACTTTCAGGATTGTAAACAAGATCAATAGTTCAATTGGACAAGATCCTGATTCAAAATATTTGATTGGAGTGCTGGATATATATGGATTTGAGAGTTTCAAGACAAACAGGTGCTTAAGCGGTATGCCTTTTGTTTAATAAGGGGAAGAAACCACTTTAGAGAAATACTATGGAACTTAGC